ATTAATTTTCTTTGGGGGGGGGGGAAATAATAATAATGAAATGGTTTCCCTTTCCATTATTATTATTTTAAATAATGCCAGGGGGTCTCCATTATTTCTTCGCGTGCCCCCTGGAGTAGGAAGAGCATTTAGGTACTGCAAAACCTCTTGGGACTCGGACAACAGCTTGATCTGGGTCTCCAAAGGCTTCTCGCGGCCGGGCTCGCCGGCGAGTTTTCCAAGGAGGGCATGCGAGGCCAACGTGAACAAGTGCCGGTCGGCAGCGATGAGTTGATGAGTGGTTACCTTGGAATAACCACTGGGCACAGGCCTCATCAAAGCAAGGAAGCATTTGTGACACCACTCCTCAAGAACCTGAAAGCTGCAGAGACCCGCAAGATCATAGGCCAGCGAACGACGAGTCCAAGCATTGCGCAGAGCCAAGTCAGTGTGCGTGTCACAAGTGGCGGACTCAGCCTTGCTAGCCATTTTCAGGTTCCCTTCGCCATCTACCACCACCTGCTGGTCTTTTTTCAACTGCTGAGCTTCTTGGGCACGGCTGATGATGCGATATGCTGGCAAGTACTGAAGGACGCCATCCTCCAGTTGTTTGACGAGAGTATCCACGACAGAATGGGCAGGCAAGGTTTCGGGTGAAAGAATGAGGCCCGTGACCCGCTTCTTCAAGGCTTCCTGGCGAGCCAATCGCTCCGCATTTGGCATAGCACGAACCACCGCTGTGTCAGCGGCAGGCTCCACGCGTGCCCTCATGTCAGCCACGCTCAGGTTCTGGGCTTCAAACATCAAACGTCTCACCTTAGAGGACTGATCAGGCGGGAAGTCATGGGGGAAAATGCTTCCCATCCAACGCTTCACATCGGCTTCATCTAGTTGCGTCGGTGTGGTTGACACAGCAAAGGCCAAGGTCCCGAAGCTCTTGAAGCCCGCATCGACAAGGGTGCGAATGGTGGATTCGCTCAATTTGACTTTCTGGCATCTCTCCAAAAACCAGGCCTCGCTGTCCACCGCGATTCCCGCCATGGCTCGACTCCTAGCAAGTCGGGACAACCTCGCTCCTTGTCGGGTTGAAGCCCAAAGCTCGACTTCGGACAAGATGGGTATTGCAACACAGTCAAACGTGTCCGCGGTTTCCCCGAGCAGAACCCCATGCTTTTATCATGACTGCGATTCCGAAGTGCTCTGACGGTGAATAAAGCCTCGGCTCCCGCAGCTGGGTGATTCTCGATAAAGATTTCGAGTCAGCTGGAGTAGGCATCAGATGTTCTCCCTCAAAGATCTCGACTTGCGTTCGAGTGGGAGCGACATCACCGATTGTCAGACTTCGGTGCGACGCCTGAGATTGGCTGAAGGATCTATCGTCTGTGCTGTTCACAAGGACAAATGCACTCGTTTTCCTTCAAGATTTCGATCACTCTGCAGCCTCCAAAATGTGCCGGCATTGTTTACAGGGGTCGGGGTCCTCAAAGTACACCCCCGCCTCACTGAAAGGAATATGGTTCCTCGAGAGAGGTCGGCCACACCACAAGTTGGCTTGATCCTTCAAACAATGCGTTATGCCGGACACAGTGTGCACTACAAGAGATTCCTCGGAAACATTTGGCCCAAAAGGGGCCCTCACTAAGCCTCCCCCGCCGCGGCCTGGAGCCTCAGAAGCTTCAGAGCTTTGTGAAGAAGGGGGGTCCTCGAACTCGTCAAAATCGTGTTGTGGAACAGGCGCCTCGGGTTCCGTAGCAATGACGTCATGGGCGGCACTAGGTCTCTCCGCTGCAGCCACTTGCACCACCCGATCAACGTCAGACAAGTCAGGGTCATAGTCTCCCGCGCGAATGGCCTCGAACATCGCCATGACACGGCCGTACAAAAGGGTGTACTGCTGTCTGGCATAGGTGGCGGGTGATTTCTCCTTCGGAGCAATGCGGTGTCCAAGAAGGCGCTTGCCCGCCCAAGAAGTCAACGTGGCCTTCAAAGAATGTGTCGCCCTCTGCATGGCTTGGTCTTGATCGATTCCCTTCAAAATCAGAAAGTCCTGGAGGTAGCTGGTCGCCTCAACGCTTCCCATCTTGACAGTGCTCCAACGGTTTTGGCTCTCGAGGCGTGACGGCAGCGCAAAATTCTCAAGAGAAAGGCCTTCATGTTCGCGAGCTTTTAGCCAGGCTTTTGCCCAGTTATGGCCAGACAGCCCGCAACCAAGTGCTGCATAAGGTAGCAGCCGGGTTTTTGCCTCCTTGGAGACCGTCGTCTTGGATGTCAAGCCTGAGGCAACAACAAGGATCACGCCGTTGGACTCCTGAATTGAAATCTCCTTAAGGTTCTGTGAGTCGCTCCATCTGTCAGCCGAATGCGTGCAAAACAGCAACTGTCCACAAATGCACGCAAGTACTGGTCCAGTTTCCACGCAAAATGCTTCCAATGCCATCACCATGGGAACAGTCAATTCAGGTTTCTGTTGCAAAGGACGCTTCATCAAATACAGATCCCGGCTTATTCCAAGCACCCGACTGGAAAGGACTGTATCAGGCTCCATATGCAGCAACTTGGCAACCCCGTGCACAAAGCGGAGGCCTTCCACAAAATGCGTCATACTAGTCGGCCTGGCGCCTGAATCACGCAAGAAGTTTGCATACATATATATGGTCGGCTCATCGACTGCCAGAGGGCTGTCTATGCTCTCTGTTGTGCACCAGGAAAAGTACCTCAGGAGGGACCCACCTCGCTTTGAGATTGTCCCGGAAGCTTTGGTCCTGAATGCATCTGAAAAAGTCTTCTTGATGGCCTCCTCGTTTACATCGGCACCGAGTAACGACAGCAAGGACCTTCCCAAGCTACTCACCTCTGGATCCCACAAGATGACCAGCCGCATCTTTTTGAGAGCAGCTGTGCGAATGTCTTCCTCGGACCGCTCCACAGTGATGCGTTTTAGGTACTTGACTGTTGTGGGTGGCACACACCTTCGCTTTGCTTCATCTTCGGATTCCTCTGGATCAAGAAAATCGTTTGCACCAATCACATGCAAGGGGTTCGTTCCTCTTTCCCAGGAAAAACGCAAAGACGAAGATGATTCCCATGAAAATCTCGGCCTGCTCTCAAAACGCTGTTGCGAAGTGGCTTCCAGCTGCACGCTGGAAGTCGCCTAAGATTCTGTCTTCTGGAAGAGGGACCAGAAGAGATGCGTCATCGGTCTCCTGAAAAGAATGGCTTGCGACACGCAAAGTGGCACTCAAGTAATCGTCTGTCTCCAAGTCACGACAGGCGTCGTACCAAGCAGCTTCAGAAACTGAGGTAGGTGCACAAGACGAAGGCGGTATGTGTGGGCTGAACACAGGCTCGCTGCCCTGAACCCATTCTGGGTCGACCCAACCCTCTTCGTCCACTGGAACCCCGGGCAAACCCTGAAAAGGCCTATTGCAATCGACCCTGGAGTGACTTCCCAAAGATTCGGTGTCTTCAAGGGCTCCCAACTCACCCCCTTGGAAAGAGCCCTGAAGAGAACGAAGCAGAAACTGGGCTTGCTCGTCGGCTGCACATCGTACTCGGTTCGGTCAACCACACCTGCTGGGCCGAACAAGAGCCAAGGGTCGAAAGCGTCGGGCTCGGAAAGAGGATTGGACATTCCGCAAGCGGCACCTCAGTCGGACAATTGAAGAAGAAGGCGAGCACACGTATGCGGCCGGCGGCCGGAGCAAGCAAGAGCAAGCCAATGAGGAGGGCTGAGGAAACAAAAGGATCCTGGATCCTTCTCTGGTACTGACCAGCACGCCACAGAAAGAGCTTTCGATGACGGACGAAAAGAGACTGGGAGGAGCGTCCAGCTGCCGCTGAAGCGAAGCGGTTTGAAAGGATCGAGGCCGGATGCAAACCACCTGGAAAGGGGGGACTGGCGGCACAACAGGCCAGTCCCAACTGAGGGAGCTGCTCGCAGAGCTCGAGTCGCTGTCCATCCGCCGAGAGCTCACAGGCTCTCGGCTTGCACGACCCCTAAGGGGAGACCAGTAGCACCTCGAACCTCTAGCACGGCACCCTTACAGGATTAGAGGAGGCTCAACGAGGGACACAAAAATTTTCTCTTAGCCCGAGCTTGATCTGTTCACATGAATGCGGCCAACTGTTGATTCAAGCATGCTGCAAGTCACACAGTTGAAAATGTCGTTCAAGTGCTGAGAAAAATTCTTTGAAAACTTGAAATAATTTTTGCAACTCCCAAAGGTCACAAAAGAACTCTAAAACCCCGCGCTCGAAGAAGCGCAACAACTTTAGTTTGAGAGAGAAATGTCAGGCAAGCTGAAATTTTCTATTGCAACTCCACGAGGCCGGAGATGGCGTTCAAACTTGATGGACAGGGAAGGTCGGTCATCCAAGGCCCCCCCATCAAGCCTGCGAGAATGGACCAAAGCGGCGCGCTTCGCCTCTTTGGAAGCAGCTAGGGTTGCGCAAGACCCCAAAATCAATGCATACATCTGGGTGAAACTTGATGCGTGCCAGGCTCTAGGCCAATCGACAATACCAGCTGGATCCGCTGCGCCAAGGCATCTTCACCACGGACAACCGCTTCCCGTCCACGGCGGGCATGTCTGCCATGCTGCAGATAAAGGCGGCACCTTCCTCCAAAGCGGGCTGCGCCGACACTCATCTCTGCACATGCATCTGCTGCGAACCAGGAGGCGTTT